GGGAATGAATATTCTGTAGTATTGTCCGGGCTTCGATGGCAACAACCGACTAGCAAATTGTTAAAACTCGATTATCAGCAGGTTGTACGGGCATTTCACTCATAGTTTCGTTTATTGTAATCCCAAGTCAGCGCATGCACATGCAGAAATTTCTGAAGAACGGAGCGACTTATACAAGTAACGGTCCTCTCTGGGACACTCTACCGTGTACGGGTGAGGGCTTATTACTTGCCATCTGATGTTTTGGTGATGGCATTGGGTTGCTAAACAGTGCAACATACGTAGTCATTCGGATGAGTACTGTTGACGATAAGTACAGTTTGATTCGTTGAGAGCCCGTTTCCTAACCAAGCGTTTAGCAGACAAATGGCTTGTCGTCGCAAACATTCTAGATCATCCATCTGCAAGTGAAACAGACGGTTCGGAGACGCCAACCGTAAACATCATCGAAATTTAAAGTTAAAAGTCAATTCTTTCGCTGAGAGGTCAAGACGCTCGGAAGTATTCCGACAATAGCAAGTGATAGCAGTAACCGAGGCTACCGGTACGAGTACTTGTACCAAATGGCTAATAAAATAAAAATAATTGGCACGGGCTGCCCGTGCGAAGATGCGTTTTTTGCATAGTTCCCCGCATTTTTGTCGCTACCGGCACCGGTTTTTCCGGTAAATGCTTCTAGCTAAATAAATTAAGACTGGCCCCCAGAATTGTCAGGAAACGCTACCTTAAAATTTCAGCTTTCTGGTTTTTCCGGCTGCTGAGCTAGCAATTTACCCGAAAAAATCTTTCACGGACCCGTACTTGGGTACCACGCATGCCCTGTGTCTAGGTTTGAGCTCATTAATACCCACTTCGATGGAGAATATCCCCTTAAAATTCCAATCCTCTAGCTTCTCAGGTTCCTGAGTTAGCAGCTTACCCGAAGAAAACTTTTACGGGCCCCTACATTGATACCACGCGTACCCGGTATCTGGGTCTGAGCTCACCAACAATACTTGGCTGAGGAACACTCCTTCAAAATTCCAGTCTTCTAGCTTTTCATGTTCTCGAGTTAGCAATTCATCTAAAAAAACTTTCACGAGTCGTACGTGGGTACCACGCATATCCGAAAACTATTTTTGAGCTCGTTAATACCTGTGTGGACGAAGAATATCCCCTTAAAATTTCAGCTTTTCGGCGTTTCTGGTTTCCGAGTTAGCAGCTTGCCCGTAAATAACTTTGGCGAGCCCGTACATAGGTGCCGTGCGGGTAAGAGTGCCCATTTTGGGGGTGGGGCCCCGTACATGCATGTAGATTATGTTCCCAAAGTTTCAGTCCTGTAATTTTTGTAGGTTCCGAGATGAAAAATCGGTACGGACTAACACACAGACATACACACACAGAGACAACCCCTTGTCAATATTCGTTTTCTGCATTGCATAGATACAAAAAAACGCATAATTAGCTGAGCGAGGAAAGACATCCGCCTGGTAATCGGAGTATTTCAACAATTTACATCTAAGCAACTGCTCGGATATCTCTGGCAAAGAAAGGCATGCATGTGTACAGGGAACTGACGCAAGATATCAGTATCTATGGTAGGAATATTTGGTACATTTGGCGTAGATTCACTCAAACTTCCGTTCTGGCGATAAAAGCTACCGGCAAATGTTACTCATAAAATAATCCAATTAGCGCTGCAATCTATATAATGCTGCG